TCATGTTAATAAGAACTATTAGACTGCAGAGCCCAAATATTTGCTTACGATTTTTCTTAAATAGGGTTGAAAAGCTGAACCTGCAATATGAAAGGATCGAATGATGTCAGAACCACATTATCGGTTTAGTTAAAAGAAATACATAATAATATCGATTTGCAGTAATGATATCGTACTCAAGATATTAATCTTCAAGAAGAATTGCAGTGGACTCCATTTACAAAATACAGAAAACTTACGTAAAGATTGTAGCGAGCTGCCTATTAGGGGGACCCCGAAAATCTATGTTGACTCGATGCTCAAGAACCCACATTACCACAGCAATTATCACAAAGAAAGATGCAGCGACGCACCACATCTCCAATGAAAATGGTTTGAGAAACACCCAAGCATTTGACTTTGAATTGTCGAGAGGTGCCATTTGTTAACTACATTGCAATGTTTGGGAATTGAAGGGAAAATTAAGAAGAAAGGATGAACAGAGGGATGTGTTGGAAAATATTAGTATTTTTGTTTATTTGAATGTTTGGTTTTATGGGCTTAGCCCATTAGAATTAGGTTTTGTTAGAGAGTAGGGTTAGTTTATTATAAATAGGGTGCTTTGTTATTCATTAGAAAATCAAGTTAGTCACAATGTAGTCTCTTAGGGTTTTGTAGCTGTTTTGACATTCTCAGTTTGTTTAATAATATTCTTATTATTTTGTTAATCTTGTTAGTTGTGCACTCTGATATTCAACTTGGTATCAGAGCAGGTTTGATCATTCGGGATTTAATCTGCCATTGATTCATATCAGTTTGTTTGTTGTCCGTTCGTTTTTTGTCCCGTACTCCGTTCTCTGACCTGCACCCACGCAACCTGGTCCGCATCGCACCACCATCTGACCACACCCACAATCTGCTCGATCTACACCCGCACCTGAACCCATCACACCGCATCGTATCTGCTCTATCCCTCCAATCTGCATCTGCCCCAACTCTGGTATGCACCTCCCCAGCCACTGACGCTGCTTCTGCACCCTTGAAGGCTGCTATTGCAACCTGTGAGAGCAACCTGCACTTCTGTATCCGCCACAAAGAAAAAAAAAAAGGAAGGAAAAAACGAAACAGAAAAAGGAAGAGGAAAAAGACAAGGGAAATAGAAAAAATTGGTTTGTTTTTGAGGTTTTGGCTTTGTACAAGGAGAAAAAAATTGAAGCAGTTATATTTGGTTTGTTTTGTTTGAGGCCCATGCGGGCAAAAGGGAAAAAAATTTTGGTTGTTTTTTTTTTTGGTTTGTTTGTTTGTTCGGAAATCGGTATTGACATCGGTATCGGCATTGGCATCGGCATCAGCATCGGTATCGACATCAATCGGCATCGGCATTGGCACTGGAATCTGGAGTCTTGCATCCACATCTACTTTGGCAAACCCATGTCGTGTACCGCCATGAGTTTGACGGGGGGTGTTGGAAAATATTAGTATTTTAGTTTATTTGAATGTTTGGTTTTATGGGCTTAGCCCGTTAGAATTAGGTTTTGTTAGAGATTAGGGTTAGTTTATTATAAATAGGGTGCTTTGTTATTCATTAGAAAATCAAGTTAGTCACAATGTAGTCTCTTAGGGTTTTGTAGCTGTTTTGGCATTCTCAGTTTGTTTAATAATATTCTTATTATTTTGTTAATCTTGTTCGTTGTGCACTCTGATATTCAACTGGATGAACATAGAGATATTAGAGAGAGAGAGAGAGAGAGAGAGAGAGAGTTTAGAGAAATAGGATTTTGTATTAATTGACAAATGAAGATTACACACACTGTTTTTATAAGAGAAATCCTAACAACCTTACTAACTATATTACTAACTGTATTACACTTGTACCCTTAATACTCCCTCTCAATCTTAACTGGGGAAACCGAGTTGGAGATTGGAAGAAAAATGACCATTAACAAATGATGACTTGACTGGAAGTTGCTAAGATTACTGCAAGTTGATCCTGCGAAGCAGAGAATCCCTAATTACTTTCGCATCATCTCTCATCACATGGATTTGGGCACGGTAAAATCAAAGCTGCAGAAATCCTTTTCATCATATGGCAGAAAACCAAAAATCCCATGTATCAAAGCTGCACAAAAATCCCATGTCTATGCTGCACACAACCAAAAGTTCAATATTCCTCTGCCTCTCGTAGGAGCTTCAATCAAAGAACAAACTCTTATAAAGTTGTTACACACCCTCATGCCGGTTATAACAATTTTTTGTGGAATTACCCTTCGTGGGATTTACCGTCAACAACTTCATTTAACATTGGCATCGGCCTTTAAAATAGAAAATTAACAAACTATAGTGTGGCATCAGCCTTAACTATAGCACCACGGGATCGCCCTTTGTGGATTTTACCAAAAAACAACTTCTTTGAACAATGACATCGACCTTCACAATTTCAACAATTGAAAATCAACATCTATGTAGGATTACGCTTCGTGGGATTTACCTACTCAAAACACGGGATTACCCTTCGTGGGATTTACCGTTAACAACTTTTTCTACCCTTCGTGGGATTTACCTATTCACATCACGGAATTACCCTTCGTGGGATTTACCGTTTACAACTTCTTCAAACTTCATCGTATAACCGGACTTACTGTAAATTCATGCTAACAACTGAGTAGATTAGACTCTGAAATTATAGGATGTGATAGGAAAACATATTGTCCTTGAAGAGACTTGATGAATTGCGTAGACGGCTGCTTGAATATCAAGATGAGAAGAGAAACCGTTTGAATTTGATAATGGACCACATAAACATAATAAGCTCTCTCTGCTTGGTTCTCGGTATGGATTTTAAGCAAACATTTCATGAAATCCACCCCCACTTTGATTGATTCTGATGGAGCAAAGGACATAACAACAATACAATTGATACCTTGGATAACTCGACACAAAGGTTGAGAAAGCTCAAGAACCAGATGTGGCAAAGGCTCCAAGATCATGCAAGTGCTCTGTCTACGCAAACCATAATCCGAACAACCACAAAATTATACATGCCACAATGCAAGAATTCACACCCATTTCTCCAAAATATATCAAGAGTTGCAGAAAGATCAAACCCAATAAACTTGCAGAATATCAATGAAGCAGAGAAAGAACTGGACATACCATACAAATTGCACAATCCAGCAATGACCAATATTCTTGAATCCAAATATCCCAAATATCACAAGATGAAGAATCTTGAAAGCAATTATCACAAACAACTAGAAGAACCCAGAAAAAATTCACAAGAAGGACGACTTTGAGCTCTTTAATACTTAACATATCAACTGAATGACTCCATGCCCACAACCACAAACTAATTGATTTACAGAATACTAAAAGAATCATCATAAGAAATTCAGAAGAAGTGACTGAAAAACTTAACCTTCATATGAAATTTCTAAGCTGGGCATTTTGTCAAACACTTGGGCTGCACATAGGTCTAAACTTTCTTCCATACCAATAACAGAGCACGGATCATAATCGTAGAAAATAGAATTCAAAAAACTGCTATGAAAACACCACCAAGATGATGAAAACTATAACCCTATGGAGCGAAGGAGTAAAGGTGGGAAGGATCGGCGTCCCAAAGGTGCTTAAAAAATCTCAAAATCTCTGCAATCAAGCAATTTGCATAACCCTGGCTATGGAGATACAGTTGGTCTTAATAGGACCTCAGGACCAAAGCAAGGGAGACCTTATGCAGCTACATGCGATGCTAATTCTTCAGAAGTTTAAGCTTTGTCTAAGGAGATTACAAATCTCAAGCTCTCTGTGGACCTTTTTGAAAAAGAAAGGTACCTTTACTTTGCAAAATTAAGGGATATTGAAATTCTTTGTCAGACATCAGAGTTGGAAAATATCCCCACTTCCATTCTTCAAGATTTCATCTTTGTTGTCTCCAACGGCAACTTCTTCGTCTTCGTCCTCCAACCAAGATAACCAACAAATGCGAAATACTCAGAAAACAACAAGTTGATTGCATACACATTTAGACACTGACTTCTTTATGTGTCAAGCACCTGTTGAGCAAAAATTGTACATAATATGTAAACAAATAATTCACTCGACACAATTTCACCCTGGTTCAGTTTTCTGAAGAGGGTTTTATTAATTCGAGTTCGACCCATTCTAAGCTACACGCCTATTAATTACAATCTTTCTTTTGGGAAAGAAATACCCTTTGATTCCAATTCGAATAAAAATGTAACTTGAGGAATTTGATGTTTGTTTGATTTTGTGACTGCACCTAGGTCGAACCCCTAGATTGCCTACGTACCCTCTTGAGGGATCAAGTCACTCGTAGTTCATGGTGTTTGGGTTTTGATGCCTTGTGCAGTTTCAACTCGTGCGGGCGAGGAGCATAGTGCCTTATGCAGTTTTAGCTCATGCGGGCAAGGAGCATTTGAAAATTTGATATGGCTTCATGCCATTTGAGACTTTTCTTCGGCTTGTGCCATCTGAGACTCTGATACGGCTTCGTGCCCTTTGAAAACTTTTCTTCGGCTTCGTGCCATTTGGTATTTGATAGCAGGAGTGAATTTAGTTTATATAAACTAGGGATTCGTTTCGATTTCACGGTTGCGTCTAAAACTTGATATTAGACTGCCTACGTATCCTTAACGGAATCAAACCGGCGTAGTTCATTACTTGATTTCATGGTTGTGTCTGAAAATTGATATCAAACTGCCTACGTATCCTTAACGGAATCAAACCAGCGTAGTTCATAACTTTGATTTAGATTTATGTTCAGACTTTGGCAAAAGAAAAGTGCCAAAAAAGATGATGACTAGCAAAAAATGAATTGATGGTTTTTGCCAAGTATGACCCACGCCCTTTTTCCTTTAATAAGCAAAGCTTAGTGCATTTAAGGTGAGACCATACTTCCCACGTGAGGAGCAATCTTTCTTTTTTATTTGCCTTCATTTACTTTGCCTTGAAACTCGTTCCATGTGTTCATGCATGACACTAACTGGGCAGTATAGTAGAAAAGCAAGCCTTTGCTTTATTGTTTAATAAAAGCAAGTGGTAAAGTACCATTTTTTTATAAATGCCTTTTTAGGTTTTAGGTCCCCTGCTTTTATCCTTTTTTTTTTTTTTATGTTTTGATTTTCTATGCCTGCCGTGCCTCTCCTTGATGATTTTGAGGATTTAGCATCCTCATCCCCCCCCGTAAGATGGCTTCAGCGATCCTCTTTCCCTTGGCTTTGAAATCTGGTGGTTTTCCTCTAGAAGCAAGCGACTATTCCGCTATATTTGGACTTCCGTGGACTTCGTTGCATTTCAAACTTCTATTTGGATTGGGTATCCGTGGATTTCAGAGTAAAAATGGGTAAGGTTTGTTGGAGTTTAAATTTTTTGTTCCAATTACTTCGATTTTCCATTATTTTCCCCTCAAATTGCAAACCTATTCTTTCGCAGGTCACAAAAAAAACTTTCATTCTCTTCCTGCCGCCTTGTATTCTTGCTCTTCCCACTTTTGATTGTTCTTCTTTTTGTGGATCGAAGGCTCACTACTTTGCATGTGATTCCTTTTATCAAACAGGTTACCCATTTTCGTTTTATTTTTTTTTCTGGGTTTGTTTATGTATTTGGAGTGAAGTGAAACTTTAGCTGCAATGAATTTTATCAATTCTTTCGTGCAGGCGTCCCAAGTAGCGGCATCTCTTCGATTGGTTGTTGGACAAACCATTTTGCAGCCCCGAGTTAGTCGAAGACAATTGTTGATTCATGGCTCCAAAGGTGAGAGTTTGTACTCTGAAATTTGGAGTCACACACTCATAATATCTGCCATATTTTGAATGAGTTCTGATGTACTTGTGTGTGATCATCACTCTGGTATTTCTGTTTCCACAAAGGGATTTTTACTTGACTGGCCTTGACAGTGGCATTTGGACACCCTTTTTGTGTTCCCATTCTTGCCATATTTTTTCTTTAACATTTGTACAATATGATGCCTTTTCCCAAAAAAAATCTTTCTGTAGTTTTGATTTGTCTACCAAGTCTTTTGGTGTTTAATACAAAGGTTACCATGTGAATGGGTTTTCCAAATAATTTGGGGAATTTGGCAGTAAGCTTTTCCCTCTCTGTAATTTTGGGATGGAAAGTGTTTAATATAAAGGCTTTGAACCCTTTTTTATCTTCTCGTCCCATCTTCTCGTGGCAAAGAAGGCTTTGAACCTTCTTTTAAATGTTTGTGGCAGAAAAGCAGGTGAGAAATTTTGACATGATGAAAACACTCTGTTCTTTCTTCACGTGACAAAGAAGGCTTTGAACCTTTTTTTAGCTGTTTATTCGACAAAAGGAAAATTTCCTTTCTTTCCTTTTTGTCTTGTAGTAGTCTTTGGTCAAGAGTTGTGTTTGAAAAACTTTTCTTCTTGTGGAGTTGGACCAAGCAGGAGTCGGTCAAGGGGAGCAAAAGTTGCATTTTACTTCTTTTCCCTTGTTTATTTTGTCCACAAATGCATCTGTTTTCTCATTGGATTCTGGCAGCGGCGAGGAGCGGAGCTCTTTTGCGTTTTTGTTCTCTTCAGATTTAGACAAAAAGAAAACATGTGGCTGCTGCCATTTTTTTTTTACTGCTTTGTGTTGTTTTTGCAGGTATAGAAGAGTAGTCGGACTACCATTTAAGAAACCTTCCATGCATAAAAAACCTTTTCCGGCAGTTTTCTTGTATAAACTGAAAGTTACTAGTTCAGAGTGTTTGGTTATGCACCCTTTTTCTTTACTTCCATCTGCAACACAACATTGAACTAGAGAAATAAAAATAAATTAACAGAACTTATTTCATACCTGGTAATGAATGTTCTTCTTTTTTGATCTTGACTCGAATGCACGAATGATCGGTCTCTTTGTTCTCTTTTCTGGCAGCAGTTCGTTGCCTTTTGATATTTCTCTCAAAGTTGCTTTTATTTTCTGCAGAGTTTCCCCTTCCTTTTTTCTGTCTGTCTTTACTTGCTGCAGGTGATGCCTATTTATAGGTGTCCCAAGCAAGCTCTAGAATTTGTTACGTGGGGGAAGATGGAGGTTCTAACCTCCTGTCACTTTCCCTTAACTTCTCCCACTAACTATGCAGTTTTTTTTTTCATGCCTTGCAGGAAAAAACGGCTTTGCACAGTTTCCTCCCCCTTTTGTAGGAAGACATTCAGATTTATTTTTTTTTATTTTATTTACTTATGGATGTTAATTTGTATGTAAAGCCCATCCTCTTTTTTTTTTGGGCTGGATCACATTTTTGTTTTGCCTTGTAATTTGACCCAATTTGTATGGACTTTATTTTTTTTGTTGTATATTTTTGTTGTTCAACAGCACCGACTTTAGTTCTGTATTCCTTATGCATAGACACAGACACCGACTGCCCAATACCTGTTGGACTCCACCGCGTACGAAAACCACAAAGAAATTGGCTCTGGCTACAAGACCTTCATTAAAAAGTACATTGGATCCGAAATCTTGTCCATGGCCAACGCTTGTTCCGGAACCAACGGATCTCAGTTCTTTATCTGCACCGCCAAAACCAAGTGGCTCGACAGCAAGGCTGTCGTCAACAAGGCCGCAACACTACTGCCCCAAGAACAATCAACCCAACAAGAACAATCAACCAAAACAATCGCAACAATCGCGGAAAAATCAACCCAAGAACAATCGCGGAAGCACCGAAAAAGCGTTTAGAGAGAGAAATAAGATTTTGTATTAATTGACTAAATGAAGATTACACATACTGTTTTATAAAAAAAACCCTAACCACCTTACTAACTATATTACTAACTGTATTACACTTATGCCCTTAACACTATCACTAGCCCGGTGATAACATAGGGCTGAGAAAAATCCACAATCATTGTCCGGTTTTTCACAATTGCAATGTCCCCAACAGCTGCATCAAACACCTGGTGCAAAATGTCAATTAGAAGACGAGATAGATACTACGGGCACGCCACTTCTACTTAAAGTTTTCAGAACTTGACATTGTATTCTTCTGAGTTATTGCATGTGTTGACTCCTATTCACATCATGTTTCCATGTATGATGTATTGGCAACTAATGTCACCCCCAAAAACCAGTCACATTTTAAGTTTTCTTTGGTTTGACCAATTCTAAACTGTGTAAAGTTTACTTACGTTTTCTGCAACCATCTTCACAAGCTCATCATAACTGGGATTGGACTGGCCATCACCAAAAGGTTCAACTCTGTAAGGAACATCATACGGGACTAACTTCAGTGCTTCATTAAACACATCAATGCAGTATCCTTCGATTTTATGGCTGTTGTTCCGTTCTGTAACAAAATCAACAAAGCTTACTCTTTTTGGAACTCCAATTCTCAATGATTTTTCATTATCTGCAATCTCCCAACTACTCCAATTCTCAATGGTTTTTCATTATCTGCAATCTCCCAACTTCGTGGCCTTTCTGTATTTCCACCAGGCCACGTGGCATTGTCAAGCTTTTGATCCAGTGGAGATTAGCTCATTCTTTCCCTTTTTAGAGTTTCCGGGGGGAGAAACTGAAAAACCTGAATAATAAGTTCAAAAACCAACCGTACGAATTTTCATCTGATCAAAATTATGTTGAATTGTAATCTTGTCTTGGGCCGGGTCCAGCCCATGTTGAAAAGGCAATACAAGATTCATACAAATGCTAGATAATTCTAGCAAGAAGCATGTCGGTGCATACACTGGAAATGCTAGAGAATTCTAGCACCAAAGTCGGTGCATCATGCATGCATATTAATATGCTAGACAATTCTAGCATTTTAGCTTATTAAGTCGGCAAGGATGTTTGATGAATTGTTATAGAAAACTCTAGAATAATTAAAACTTGTGGCTAGGAGGAACTTAGTCCAATTGCACCGACTTGGTGAGTCGGTTAATGCTTGCCTATAAATTTAGGTGTGTGTGTGTGTGTTGCTATATAGCAAGAAGAAGTGAGAACAACCAAGAAAGCAAGTAGTGAGAAGTGAGAAGAAGCAACAAAGCTTCTAAGAGTGTTTGAGTGTTTCCTCTTGTACTAGTTTGTGAGTGAATAAAAAATTTTGTGTAAAAACCTTGAGATAAACATCCTTCTTTGTGAGATAAACATCTCCAAAGTAGTGAAGTCTTTTTAAGCCCCAACAAATTAATGATATCATAAATGCCACTCGCACGGCTTCTGTCTTGATCAAATTCATGTTGGAGCAATATTAGAAAATATGAAAATAACACAAGAATTACAATGATAATAATTATAAAGAAAATCACAACATTAATTTATGTATAAGATTAATATAAACAACTAGAGAGAAAATTAGAAAAACTAACAAACTTGGAGATTGAGGCTTGCATAAATGCAATGTCCTAAAGACAGAATTTCGCTCATACTCTTGTGCTTGTAGTTCAGTAGGCGTCCATCTCCCATGATTCAATAATCTATAATCCGAAGTCAAATCACTTCAATCTTCGGACTCTGGCGAACTTCATATATTTCATACTCTCAAGACATGACTCGGAATTTGACTAAGAATGAGAGAAACAAAGTGGGGAAACCCTATTTCTTAAGAGTAAAAATTAACTCTAATTTTCTATATGTAAGACCAATGGTTTCATGGGTTTATATAGAATCCAATTTCTACTTATTAAAGAGATGTAACTTTTCATCTATAAGTATACATCACTTATCAAGGGAATACACCTAAACAACATAACCTTTCTAAGAAATTGGTTAACATTATTTTTCATTCAATTATTAAAATTATATATTACAATATTTCATATTATAATATATAATTTCCAACAATCCCCCAAATGAATGAAAAATTTAGGAAGAATTTGAGAGTATAGGTGGACAAGAGATGCATGGGGAGATGTGTCTTTTGGACTTGAACCTACCCTAGTGAATACTTATCGGATTTACTTGGTGACGCAGTGGATATGGAATCTTGAACTGTTCACAGAAACAGTAAACCGAGACAATAAGCAACACACATCACTAATCCTAATATATTTCGGTTCATACGGTTGTGTTCATTTTGGTCCTGAACAATTCCCAGATTCATGAGAGCTTTAGAGAATTTAGTCATCTCATACTCATAGAAACGACCCACTTCTGCTCTTACATAGGTGACCACTGATTAAGGATAGTATGCTTTATTCCTCTTTTTTTATAAGATATCATTGTCATTAAGTATAAATATACAACCTAAAACATCTGCAGACAACACATTTCTTCCATCATAGGAATGAGGTATATAGTGTGTTAACTTCTTTGAATCATGCCCAACCAGTTTGCCTATTGAACTTAGACCATGGAATCTCCAATCAACTAAGTTAGGTTTCCGCTCGGCTGATTCATTAGTTATGTTGGCTTTAGCCTCATTCCCCTCGATAATCAACTTACTCTCTAGTCTAACCTTTAATAATTGGATCCACTACTAGGTTGACTATTTTTAATGGTGTGCACAATCCATCTTATGAAATTATATTTCATACGAGAGTAGTTGTTTTACAATGTCAAGTCCTCAAAACATGGGTTAAGACTTTTCAACAATTTGCTAACACTAGGAAATAGACTTCCCCCACATTTAAGGTATTTGTAAGAAGGTCTCTAACCTTGTCATACCTTAAACAATAACTCATTCCAAGAGATGACATTTTGATTATCTCACTCAATTAGCAAATTACATTTTCCATTCTTCTTATGCAAATCTCATATCTCAAAGATACGTGCAGCTACTCAAATAACGAAGCCAAAATGATGCTATTCAAAGGGCACCATCACAACTATCGAAGGTTACAGTCTAAGAAAGAACTATAATCTCCATAACCAGTAACCGAATTGTTACAGTTTGAATGAACCAAATCCATGACCCTACGACGGAAACGATCATGCCTTTCCATGAGAAGCACTTCTTAGCTTTCATTTCAAAATTGTCAAGGATCTAGAACCCTTAGAGGAATATTATCTTCTTTTGATTATAGGCCTCAGCCTATACAATGTAATTTGTGAATCGTACATGCAACCCTTAAAATTGCAAAATATTCCCCACACTTTTAGTGTCTTTTAATTTGATTCAACATAAGTCTTGGACCTTAACCCCATAATTAAATAAGCGTCTTTCGACGTTGACAGATAACTTATCTAAAATGAGTTCAGTTTATCATTTTATTTTCGTTGCTTCTCAAAGCCAAATTTATCCACTTTCTGGGTTCTTATCATGACTGACCATGACTAAAGACTAAACCCAATTTTGCATATGCACACATATGCCCGAGTAATTGTTCAATTTCCTTCTTATGTATTCCATTCTTTCCATGAATAAATATGAATAATCTGCACTCATCTTATATCCTATGATACCATGGAAGTTGGGTTCATATCTTCTACTGGAGTTTTCCAAACTGTTTCAATACACATTTAGAACAACCCCATTTTATTTGGGTAGTCATTCTTCATCAAGAGCTTTTGCTGACATCTTTATGAATATAAGGGTTTTCTCAACAAAACCCGATTAATCATTCTCGTGCCCAATCAAATATTGATTTCCTTTGTCCCAAGAAAGAAACATTGCATCAGTTCACGAACTGGTAGACATTATTGCCCTTTTAGATTTGCAAATAATGCAAATTTTTTAATCAAGCCATTTCACTTAGCCTTAACCGTCACCTCCTTTCTAATAGAAGAGTCAATGCCAAATATTCATGAAAGATGCAATTGAATCATGAGAATCGCATATGTGAAACAAAAGATTCATGATTGCTGTGCAACATATATTATCAATATATCCATGTTTTCTCTGAAAATATCTCAAAACCAATCATGATAATCAAAGAAAATTCAGAATAGCCATATCCGATTTCACCCCCCAACCATGAACCACACTAAACTGATTGGTTAAAGTACCGAATACCTTTTCATGGAGATATCCATGTCACTTATCAATAACTCATGAAATAATTTAATTTTGTTCTTTGAAAGAAACACTCTGGGCATCAGCCCATATGACAATTCAAATTTTAACATGGTGGTAAATGGCCAGAGACATCAATACCCTATCACTGTCAAATGTAAAAATATTTATTTATTAATTTTCTTTTAATCTCATACGCATGGCAGATTCATTTTAGTGAGAATAACCAGGCAAGAAGGCATATATGTTGTAACATACATATGTAGACAATGAAAGCACACATATAACTGCCAGATGAAAACCGAAAAAAATCTTCCAGTATATACACATTGCAATTTCCACTAGTATGGCAACATACAGACATTATTGTATAAATCAAGCACATCAAATAAACTAATACACATCAATATGCACATAAAATCTAGCTCCAAAATTTTTCCAAAGCAAAATCAAAGTTTCTTCTACTTAGCGTTTAGGGCTATGTTCAATGTTATAATATATAATTTCCAACAATTCAACGTGACCAGTTAAACCACTCATATTTGTCTCCAATAACTTCTCACGAAGAAGAGATCCACCATCAAAGACTTTAAGCTTGCCCAGCTGAATTTTGAGATTGTCTCATGTCAAGTAATTTATCAAGGACAGAGAATGAGACATTTCTGTTTTCATTCATAAAATTTTCAATCGAATGTGCAACAGCCCAAACTGTGTCATAAGCATAAAGTCCATAGACATTTAACTCAGAACTTGCTAAACCATCTTGCTGCATTTTTTTCCACCTAGACACGAATGCACGCTTTCGACTGGACTCTGGGATATGCTTGTTGGGGCTTAAAAAGACTTCACTACTTTGGAGACGTTTTTCTCACAAAGAAGAATGTAATTCAGCGGAATTGATAGGCAAGAGAAAGAAAGAACACTCAATGTATTACACAAGATTTTTATTCACTCACAAATTTAGTACAAGAGGAAACACTCAAACACTCTTAGAAGCTTTGTTGCTTCTTCTCACTTCTCACTACTTGCTCTCTTGGTTTGTTTCAAATGGTATGGATGCCTTCTCCTTTTATAGGCATGGACAGAACCTTGGAGAAACATGGAAGCATCATGCTAGAGATATCTAGATAATTCCACTACATTCCTAAGCTAGAATTATCTACATTAATCTTGTATGTTGGTGGAATCCTCACCATTCTTCTAGACTCTTCCACCAACTTGAACTTTGCTAGAATTCTCTAGCATGTGCATGGATCTTTCTTTGTGTATGGGCCGGATCAATTGTCTTGGACCATGGATATAAAGATTGTAGGAATAGTTGAGTTTAAGCCTGACCACGGTAAAATTCACATCTCTTTGGGAAATTATTGGCATGTGTACCTGACCATGGACATATGCACGGAAGTTGTTTTCATTAATTTGATAATTCATGAGTTGACAATTGGATACTAGGGTATGATAACTAGTGGTGGAATGAAAGCCTTAGTGTTGTCTTACATTTGTTCTCAATTATATTTCTGTTTAAGCATTGTTAATTTTAATTATTCTTCAATACAAACTCAATCTTTATTTCAATTCAACGTGACCAGTTAAACCACTCATATTTGTCTCCAATAACTTCTCACGAAGAAGAGATCCACCATCAAAGACTTTAAGCTTGCCCAGCTGAATTTGAGATGGTCTCATGTCAAGTAATTTATCAAGGACAGAGAATGAGATATTTCTGTTTTCATTCATAAAATTTTCAATCGAATGTGCAACAACCCAAACTGTGTCATAAGCATAAAGTCCATAGACATTTAACTCAGAACTTGCTAAACCGTCTTGCTGCATTTTTTTCCACCTAGACACAAATGCACGCTTTCGACTGGACTCTGGGATATGCTTGTTGGGGCTTAAAAAGACTTCACTACTTTGGAGACGTTTTTCTCACAAAGAATAATGTAATTTAGCCGAATTGATAGGCAAGAGAAAGAAAGAACACTCAATGTATTACACAAGATTTTTATTCACTCACAAACTTAGTACAAGAGGAAACACTCAAACACTCTTAGAAGCTTTGTTGCTTCTTCTCACTTCTCACTTCTCACTACTTGCTCTCTTGGTTTGTTTCAAATGGTATGGATGCCTTCTCTTTTTATAGGCATGGACGGAACCTTGGAGAAACATGGAAGCATCATGCTAGAGATATCTAGATAATTCCACTACCTTCCTAAGCTAGAATTATCTACATTAATCTTGTATGTTGGTGGAATCCTCACCATTCTTCTAGACTCTTCCACCAACTTGAACTTTGCTAGAATTCTCTAGCATGTGAATGGATCTTTCTTTGTGTATGGGCCGGATCAATTGTCTTGGGCCAAGACAAGATTACATTTCAACATCCCCCCTTAATCTTGTCTTGTGACGCCGATTGATTTCCTCAATCTAACAAAGTCTTCTTGTTTGAGTGACTTGGTGAATATGTCGGCGACTTGGTCTTGAGACTTCACGTATTCCACTTGCACATCCTTTCTTGCAATACACTCTCTTATGTAATGATAGCGGGTATCTATGTGTTTGCTCTTGTCATGGAATACTGGATTCTTTGCTAGAGCTATTGCAGACTTGTTGTTGACATAGATCTCTGTTGGCTCTTCTTGTGGCATGCTTAATTCTTTTAGCAAGTTTCTCAGCCAGATTGCATGACAGACACATGACGTAGCAGCTACATATTCAGCTTCGCAGGTAGAAAGAGTGACAATCGGTTGCTTCTTCGACATCCATGTGAATGCAGTGTCTCTCATGAAGAACACAAATATAGTAGTGCTTTTTCTATCGTTGGAATCTCCTACCCAATCACTGTCGTTATACCCAACAAGTTTGTAGTTATCGGAACTTGAATAGAACAAGCCAAAGTTAACAGTACCTTTAAGGTATCGAAGAATTCTTTTAGTGGTCTTCAAGTGTGTAGTTGTGGGATTCTCCATGTAGCGACTGACTAATCTGACGGCATAGAGAATGTCTGGTCTTGTGCATGTCAAGTAGCGCAAGCTTCTAACTAAACTCTTGAAACATGTTGGATCTACACTTTCTCCTTCGTCATGCTTGGTTAGTTTGACTCCGCACTCCATTGGCGTGCTTATGGGCTTGTAGTCCTCCATTTTGAACTTTTTCAGTATCTCCTTTATGTAGCTTTCTTGGGAGATGAAAATGCCTTCTTTGTTCTTAACTTCAATGCCTAGGTAGTATGCCATCAACCCGATGTCGGTCATCTCGAATTCTTTGGTCATCACTCTCTTGAACTCTTCATACATGCTTGGATTACTTCCGGTGACGATTAGATCATCCACATATAAGCACACAATTAGAATATCTTCATCTTTGACTTTGACGTAGAGAGCATGTTCATGAGGGCACTTGATGAAGTTGTTCTCTTGAAAGTATTTGTCAATGAGACTATTCCATCCTCGTGGCGCTTGTTTTAACCCATAGAGGGCTTTCTTCAGCTTCAAAACTTTATCTTCATGCCCTTTGATTTCATAGCCTGTCGGTTGCTGAATGTAGACTTCTTCTTCAAGGACTCCATGTAGGAAAGCAGACTTCACATCCATTTGTTGAATCTTCCATTTATTTTGAGCTGCCAAAGAAATTAGTAATCGTATAGTTTCCAACCGAGCAACGGGTGAAAATACCTCATCATAGTCGATTCCGGCTCTTTGACTATAGCCCTTCGCCACTAATCTCACCTTGTATCTTTCGACCTCTCCGTTGGCATTCTTTTTTGTCTTATACACCCACTTGACTCCGATGGCTTTGTGTCCTTTCGGAAGAATAGCGAGTTCCCATGTATCGTTCTTCTGGATTGCTTCAATTTCTTCATCCATTGTTGTCATCCACTTAGTATCTTGCACTGCTTCTTGGAAGTCAACTGGTTCACAATCAGCAAAGAGACAGAAAAGTGTAGGATTATCGAGTCTTTGAGCTACCTTATAGAGATCTCGTAGACTTCTTATGTGTGGTACTTCTCTTTCATTTAGACTCTCACTTGATAATGCTGATGTTGGTGAATTACCATGATTGGTTGATGTTGGTGAAGCAGGTGGAGTAGTGGACTCTTGTTGAACCTTTCTTGCTTGCTCCATCATCCCTTGTTCATTCTCTTCTTCAAACTGAGGAAAGAAGTGAAGATCACATGTATGAGAGCCAAAATCCCATTCTCCTTCTTCATCGAACGTCACGTCTCGATTGATCACCGTCTTCCCATTGTTTGGATTATACAACTTATAGCCTTTTGAATTTGAGTCATAGCCGATGAAGATGAACTTCTCACTTTTGTCGTCGATTTTGGTTCTCCTCTCGTCTGGTACATGTACATAGGCTATGCTTCTTCCAAAAACTCTTAGATCGGAGATACCTGGTTTTCTTCCACTCCATGCTTCTTGCGGAGTCTTTCCCCACACACTTCTTGTTGGAGACCGATTGGATAGGTAGATAGCACATGCTACAGCTTCTGCCCATAACTCCTTAGGCAATCTTTTGCTTTTGAGCATGCTTCGAGCCATGTCGAGGATGGTTTGATTTTTTCTTTCCGCCACACCATTTTTTTGAGGGGATCTTGGAATTGTCAAAGGTCGACGAATTTCATTAGCTTCATAGAATTCTTGAAATTCCTTTGAAATGAATTCTCTTCCTCGATCAAATCTCATGGCTTTGATCTTGCAACCACTCTCCTTTTCTACAGCGGCTTTGAATTTCTTGAATGCTCCAAAGACTTCTGATTTTTGCTTCAAGAAATATACCCAGGTTTTTCTTGAAAAAATCATCGATGAAGAAAAGGAAATAATTATTTTTACCCAAAGAGCTTGGTTTTATTGGACTGCACACATCAATGTGAATGAGCTCGAGTGGCTTCTGGGCTTTGGTGGTCGACTCATTTGGAAAGCTTTTCCTGAACTATTTCCTAAGTAAACATCATTCACAAACTTGATCAGGGTGACTGATGCACGGTAAGCCTCTCACCATCTCCTTCTTGGATAATAACTCTAGTCCCCCAAAGTTAAGATGCCCAAAACGAAGATGCCAAAGCCAGGATGTGTCTTTGTAACATGTTTTGAGGCACTTTGCAACATCATTTTGAATATTCATAGGAAACATCCTATTCTTTGACATTTTCACCTTGACAATTAATCTTCCTTTGTCATCTCTAAGAAAGAGACTATAATTTTTCTTGTGAATATCATAACCTTTTTCTAAGAGTTGACCTAAGCTCAAAATGTTGCTTTTCATATTGGGCACGTAGTAGACATTTGAAATTAATTGGTGACCGCCATTTTTCAGGGGAATTAGGATGTTACCTTTTCCTTTGACGGGTATTTTGGATTCGTCTCCAAAAGAAACGTTGCCACTCACCGATTCATTAAGCTCTAAAAACATGCTTCTTCTTCTGCACATGTGGTTGCTAGCGCCGGTGTCAACGTACCATGTATAGTCTTGGTCTCCATCATTGTTCTTGCATGCTAGTAGCACAACGCCATTATCTTCTTTCTCGTCTTTCACATAATTGACCTTCTTATCAGGCCTGTTGCTTGGAGCTTTACATTCCCAAGCATAATGCCCAAACTTTTGACAATTGTAGCATTGAACTTGAGATTTTTCATACCTCAAGTTTGAGCGTCCTCTTCCACGACCTTTTGTTAAGCTTTCTCCTCTTTCGTAGTTGCTATGGTTGTTGAAGTTCCAACCACGTCCACGTCCGCGACCTCGACCACGACTTCTTCCGTACTGGCTTCTCTCGTTGTCAAAGCTTTCTTCTTTCTTCTTTGGCTGGACATGCGTCTTGAGGAGCTGCTCATTATTCCCTTGCCTTTTCTTATGTTTCTCTTAATATGCTTGTAGCGAACCCATTAATTGCTCTCTACTAATTTCTTCCAAGTTTTTAGTTTCTTCAATCGTCACGACAATGTGCTCAAACTTGGGGTCCAACGAGCGTATTATCTTCTCCATAATTCTAACATCTTCCAACTTTTCACCGTTTCTTTTTAATTGATTAGAAACGGCTATGACTCTTGAGAAATAATCAGAGATTGATTCAGACCCTTTCATTTGTAGAGATTCGAACTCACCTCTTAATATTTGAAGACGAACCTTTTTCACTTGTTCGGCTCCTTTGTAAGAGGTTTGAAGCTTCTCCCATGCTTGCTTGGCAGAGGTTGCACTTGAGACCTCCTCAAAGCCATTGTCATCTAATGCTTGGTAGATGAGGTAGAGAGCCTTCTTGTCTCTCTTTCTTGAATCTTTCAAACTCTCCTTCTGGGGTTGGGACAGAGTAGCTTCATCTTCTGGCTCAGTGTAGCCTTTCTCCACGACTTCCCATACATCGTGTGCTCCCAAAAGGGCCTTCATTTTGATACTCAAATTATCGAAGTTGTTGTTGTCGAGCACTGGAACTTGGAAGGCTGCCATAGCGTTGCTAGCCATAGCTCTGGTACCACTTTGTTGGGGCTTAAAAAGACTTCACTACTTTGGAGACGTTTTCTCACAAAGAAGAATGTAATTCAGCGGAATTGATAGGCAAGAGAAAGAAAGAACACTCAATGTATTACACAAGATTTTTATTCACTCACAAACTTAGTACAAGAGGAAACACTCAGACACTCTTAGGAGCTTTGTTGCTTCTTCTCACTTCTCACTACTTGCTCTCTTGGTTTGTTTCAAATGGTGTGGATGTCTTCTCCTTTTATAGGCATGGATAGAACCTTGGAGAAACATGGAAGCATCATGCTAGAATTATCTACATTAATCTTGTATGTTGGTGGAATCCTCACCATTCTTCTAGACTCTTCCACCAACTTGAACTTTGCTAAAATTCTCTAACATGTGCATGGATCTTTCTTTGTGTATGGGCCGGATCAATTGTCCTGGGCCAAGACAAGATTACATTTCAACAATGCTTACGTAAAGTAACTACACCTTGAAGGGCAGTGAGTGAAGTTCGGTTCATTGGAGAGAATGAATCTACTGTGGTAGAAGGCCAATCTGTTGCAAACCACACATAATTGCTTGTCATCATATGAAGTTCTTTGGCGACAGTAAAGATTCTCGACCTAGGATCGGGATCAACATGAACAATATAGACACGAGGGCCAAGAAATCTGGATTTATTGAGCAAATCAGCAATGTCATTTAAATTATATTGGACAGGCAAAGTCAAGTTATGAGAAATCCTTGACGTTGTTTTGTCAAGTCCATCATGTAAAGCAGATATTCCATTCCTCCCATAATCGTCATCCACAAAGACAGCAATAACCTCTTTCCACCCGTAAAAATCAATCAAACCAGCCATAGCAGCCATTTGGTGAGCATCGCCTTGTGTAGTTCGGAGAAAGAATGGGAATTGGAGAGCAGAAAGAGTAGGATCAGTTGCGGTATATGAGATAAGAGGTACTTGGAGACCATTAGCAATTTCAGAGATCATATGAGCCATTGAAGAGGTCTGTGGTCCGATTATGGCTACTATACTTTTGTCAAGCACCTGAAAAACTGCTCCCAGAAAGTGAGCCATTAAGAAATGCGGGTTACATTGATTGCAATTCAAAGTGAAGTTCAACATCAAACGTCCCAAGAGAGGATAAGAAGCGCAACATATGGAAATATTAAAAGGAAATCAACTTTAAAACAAGACGTGGTGCCATTGATAATGTATATGAAAGACACGAAAAGAGCTCATGAAGGGCTAAAGTGGTGAAAGAAATCTTAAACTAATCAGAGCAGAGGTCAGAAAATCAGCGATTGATTCCACGTGTTTTGGAACTTCAATTCTACAGCAAATACAAGAGGTTTCCATATAATATGGAGTCATAGCAACCTGAGAATGTCCTATACATCGTCTTACAACTCACTAGCACTTTCAAGGTACCAAGCAACTCTAGACTCGATTATTAAGATGTACTACAAGAACACTAGCGATGAACTACTCAATCACTGCAAAACTACTACTAAAACACTATAAAGACACTAAACAAATGACTTTCGAAAGACACCTTTCAAGGAATCATTTGAAAGTTCCCTCAAATGTATTGCATAAAGTCATTTTCAATTCCTGCTATCCAAATTTTGTTCTACATTCCTAACAAATATGAAAGTTCCTCGTCCGAATGCACCATAACAGTTGCTAAAATCAAAATTTCACCCTAGAAAAGAACAACCACTACAGTTATGAACTTGAACAAGTAATGATATTCATACGCAGAAACCAGAATACTGATCAATTAAGTACCTTCAACGGATCCCAAGAACACGCTAGAATTTGTATTCTCCATAAGCAACCTCAGCTCCGTCCCACTGAGTATTCTTGGATCTGCATTAACATCAGAGAATGCAGCTTCCATGGCTGTCTTTGCAACTCTACCAATAACCGAGTTAAAAGTAAAAGCAGCTAGTGAGGAAAACCCATATCAGAAATTGCAGTGGCAAAACTACAGCACCCCTGATTTCCCACTGCAGCAATTCCTCATAGTAAAGCCTCGAACTTTTCTAAAACCCATGTTTCAAAAGCTTCATATAATCAGTAAATATGGTATGAAAACACATAGGATATTTATTGCTTGATCAGTGAACTACCCAGTTGAGAGCACTCATTGGTGAACTGAAAAACCATAGAAAGTTAGTAAATTTCACCTACAAATTATTGATTTCCGGAGAAATTTTCAGTTCAACTTCACAGAACTGAAAATTTTGTAATTCCAACTGTTGAACAGTTGAAGGAAGGAGTTTGTGGAGGTTGAATGATTCAATTTGGAAGTGCAAGTGAGCATGATGTTGGACATCATGAAAAAAAAAAAAGAATCACACTTCGATGGAAGAAGCACCAGGTCCACTTCCAATGTCATTTTCTCAAAGTTCATTATTTTTCTTAGGTTTTGGGTACGTGAAGGATAGCAAGATCCCACCTGGCAAGAAAATAGGTTAGTTGACAGTGATATCCTATATAGGAGGTTTCTATCAACATTTAGTGTTTTTTTTTTATGACTTTCACACATCCTTTATTCTTTTACATTGTTCTTCTTTTCTAAGAGTGCAAGGAGAGAAAATGGAATTAAGTTTTGTTTGTACTGCGTTTAGCGGGTGTTGTCTCACCTAGTGAGCGTTGTGGTCTCATTTTTCATCGACAGCGTAATGCGGTCTCATCTTTTAACAATGACTTTATGTGACTTTGCTCTTCGAGAATGACCAGTGTGTGCCATGATATAGGTATGATCTATTGTTCTTATGAAAGCTATGTAGTGGCGACACTTGTGCTTGTGATTGTCGCGTAGGAGTTTTACTCTAATTGCTTGTTTGCGCAAATGCATCCTAGATTAATGTCTTGGTCACTGGAGCAATGTACTTTATGATAATCAATGAAATAATGCTATCACTTCTCGACAAACACAATAATTTTTATTGTTTATCGACCACACACCCCTTTACTTTCACATCTAAGAACAATTTCCAATTACAGAGGAAAAGGAAGAACAACAACATACTTTTTCTATGAATGGAGTAGTGAAATTCGAACATAGAATCTCTTCTTCTATTTCAAAAGAGAAAACATTTTTCGTTGGATCAATTTGGCAATTAAATATAACGTGGTGTTGTCCACACACTTATTTTTACTTCTTACACATTCTCTTAATTTTCAGCTGTCGAATTGAATAAATTAAAAAAGATTAACGAACAAAAATTAACAAAAATATCTAAGAAGTTTAAAAAAAAAGTGCGTAAATAGCACTACACAAAATATAAAGGTTAACTTCCCTTCATTTCTCTTTTCACAAGATAAAAACGTAGCTGATAAGCACATTAACCGATTGTCCACTCACCTTATTTCACTGTAAAATGTTTAGCCACAAAAAAAAAATGAAAATTGTATTAGAAAATGTTTTTGTCATATGGGCTCCTACATGGATCGTGACATCTTGTAACTTGTGCTTAGCCCAACAGGATCTTTCTTCGGATCCTTTTAATAAGAATTCTATGAATTTGTAAAACGTGTTCGTTCATCGTATAGCGTACGGTCAGTTTTTATCAAGTATGATTTGTATTTAATTTTAAATAAAATTATTTAAAATTATTTATGACCGTACGATAAACACATATGATTTACAGATTTCCGTATCCTTACAAAGAGAACCCGAAGAGGATCCGGATTCGTGCTTGGCTTGGGAAAGCCCAAGTCTGGAGGGTAGTTTTGTAATTGTAGCATGTGGGTGGGAACTGGATAACAAAGGCGCCATGCTCTCTTCAATCTTCATTGTCCAGAGGAGCAGAGTACAAAAAGCTCAGCGGCTGATGCTTTCAAGCTGTTGAAAACAATGGCCTCCTCACTCACCTCATCTTTCCAAACCAGGTCAGCTCGCAATTTACTTTTACTTTTACTATGCCGCTCTCTAATTCAAGCATTTGTTTTCTGTTCCTTCTCTTTTGGGTCAAAATTACTTGTACTAATTTGTAAAGTTTGAATCTTTCTGACAATTTGAAGCATTTTTCAAGAATATTAGAATAATGGGTTGTGGGAATCGCATGATTTTATTATATTTTCAGGTGATTATTTTATTCAGCAGAAAACTGTTTTAAAGCATAAAAAAAAGTGCACATCCGTAGAATTAATCTAGAGGTAGAAGACGATGACCTGTATTGTAACCCTACCTTAGTTTCACATTCAAACGGTGCCGTTTCAATTTCATGGCCAGCCACTGGCCCCACTACACCCCACACGTGGAAAGGTATCAAATTTATAATGCAAGTAACAAATGCAACCCAGATGTAGTATCTAGTGATATTTAAGTGAGGTTTTAGGTTCAATTTTTGCTAAAAGTAAAATTGAACTACATTATTACTAGCTAATTATGGACTTAACACACTTTTCATCCTTTTAGTGTAAATAATATCGTATTTTAGTGCATTTGCCTCAGCTGAGGGCAGTGTTGGTTTCTCAGGCCTCAAATTTGGGGAAAGGTCCGAACTTGAACGGTTTCATGAGTTTTTCAGACACCCTGTTTAAGTTTGGGGAACATAAGAAACTAATGTTTGCCCTGTGTTATGTTTTTGAAGTTTCGTTACTTTGTTCTTGGGTTTCAAATTTTGGAAAAGGTCCAAACTTGAAATGGATTCATGAATTTTTCTGAAACCCACTGGATCATAACAAATTAGTGATTAGATTGTGTTCTTATGTTTTGAAGTTTCCGTTACTTTGTTCTCCAGTGCTTGGAGAAGGTCGAAACTTTCATGAGTTTCAGAAACCCAATGGAACATAAGAACTTAGTTTTCAAATTGTTTTGTTATGCTTTTTGAAGTTAACATTAGAGTGGATTGTTTCTGGTTTAGTGAAGATCCTTTTTGCTATCACGTTTCAGCAATTTGCGGTCTGCTTTTTTGGGCAAGAGAAACGGATTCTCTGTTTGTAGCGTACCTGTATCTCATGTCAAGTTTTTGAAGAAGACAATAGAGTGTAAGGAATCACGAATTGGAAAGCAGCCAATTGAAGTACCATCCAATGTGACAATCACTTTGGAAGGACAGGCTTTGGCAGTAAAGGGACCATTGGGGCAGCTTTCACTAACTTACCCGCGAGAAGTGCTGGTTCAGAAGGAGGATTCTGGGGCTCTAAGGGTCAGAAAGGCAGTAGAGACTAGAAGGGCCAATCAAATGCATGGCCTTTTCAGGTACATTTCTTCCATCTTCAGTCATGTACTTTAAACAATAAACCGGCCTTATTCTTCATGGTTTGTTCCTTATGTGCCTGTTTGAATAATTTGCTTAGGACGCTTACGGACAACATGGTGGTGGGGGTGTCAAAAGGATTTGATAAGAGGTTGCAACTGGTAGGCGTCGGTTATCGAGCTACTTTAGAAGGAAAGATCCTGGTACTAAGTCTTGGGTTCTCCCATCCAGTTAGGATGGATATCCCTGATGGCATACAAGTCAAGGTCGAAGAAAACACCAGAATCGTTGTTAGCGGATACGACAAGAGTGCCATCGGTCAGTTTGCTGCGTCGATCAGGAAATGGAGACCCCCGGAACCGTACAAAGGTAAGGGTGTGAAATATGCTGATGAAATCATAAGAAGGAAGGAGGGAAAAGCAGGGAAGAAGAAGTAATAGCCTTTGGATTGTTTCATGTTTGTATTCACATTCCTGCTTGTCAAATGTATCAGAATTATCGAATGTACTTGCATTACCGCGAGCAATTCCAGTATCTGTATTTTCACGTTAAGGTAGATGCTGAAAACTAAAGTTGACCTGTCAAACGGATCGTGTTGGACACAACCCGATTTCTGAACGAATCCACACGAACCCAAGCCGTTAAGGAAAAGTATAGTCAACAGCTTAAAAAATAAAACAAAGCACAATGATTTTGTTTCTTCTCACAAACACGACCCTTTTTAAGTGCTCTGCCAGTCAATGCTCAACCCGAACATTACACCTTTGTTTGTGTTGATGTCGTGGCATCAGGTCGTGCATAATTTTATCATATCGTAACAGAAAGTTACCATAAAGCAGCAGTGAATGGTAGAATCGTGGAAGATAATAATGATTAAATTGTTTTGCATTAATATTGTTATGTATCTTTAATCAAATCAGAATCACACCCAAAAATGAATCTTCCTTCTTTCACAACTGTTTTCTCACTACTTGAGTGGCTCCTTCACATCCCATTTATTCAGCCTTTTCTTTGCCTCTTCCACCTGCAATTCAATTCAAATGTATGTTTTCGTATTAATAAAGATTATATAAAAATAAATAAAAATAAAAATCACTTATAATGTCAATAAATCATGCAAGATAAATCCCAAAAATAATTATAATAAAAAAAATTTAAAGTAAAAGAAAAGTGGCGCTCAAATCTAATACCTCTTTGTTCCAGTCAGTCCGAATGGTCACCCACAGTAGGATGAGTGTTTGCATCAATGTGCCCCCCACCATTCCTAACCATATTCCCTACAAAATTATCGCACATAATTATTATAGTCGTCATCATTTGTATGATATTTTTTTCGATCACATTAGTGCATCATATGATACGACAATTAATGTTAGTAAACATTCGCATTATGCGATTAGATTAATTTATTAACGAGAACTACGAAATTATATTTTTCAATTTGATGTTGATTTTTTGTACCTTGGCGCCGAGCTTGAAGTAAAACCCTAGAAGCGCACCAAATGGTACTCCAACCACGTAATAACATCCAACATTCACATACGCAACAAAAGCTTGCCATCCACACCCAACAGCAACACCTGAATTCGTGCACTTACATTAGTTAGCATATGTTTCATTTAACGTAGGCAAGTTCTGTTAGGGATGTCGGTACTACAAGATAGAGAATGCACAAGGTAAAGTAGAAAATGGACGCCAAGAATTTATGTGGTTCGGCAATTTATGCCTACGTCCACCAAACAAGGAATCTTCACTATATGAAAAAAGATGAATACAACAAGAGTAGTCTTACCAAGCCAAAGACAAGGCTTGATGGATACAAGAAAGTATAACACACTTTCTATCACTCTAAACTTCACTCACACAATGTGTAGTGGAACACTCTCACTCTCACTCTTGGAGTGGAACTCTAGCTTTGGACTTGATCCTTTGCTACTCACTCTTCTCTTGATTTGTTGTTGGTTCACTACAACATCACACCCATATTTATAGGTGAGGGTTTGGCATTCTACTAGTTTCTAGTGTATTCTTCAAACCTCTAGCATAGAAAGATCTAGACTAGCCACAAAAGTGTGGCTTCTAGATCTTTCCATTTGCAACCAAGGAAGCTAGTACTCTCTAGCTTCTTCCATCAACTTAATAACATGCTAGAATTGTCTAGCATGCTCCAGCCATCTCTCTTGCTTACTAGAATAATCTAGAACATTGATCATGGGCTGGACCATATACCAACAAGTTCATGGACGAATGCTCCAATTTATATTTACCGGACAAAACTGGCTGGACTCCGTTAAGGAGGAGGGTGAGGGCCAGAAGCGGGCAGAGATCAGATACAGCAGCAGCCACGGCTTCACCTTCGGTGAAGGCGTAGCTCAACTTATGACGCAGTAAAAGAACAGCTATGGCTGCGAAGATTGAGATAATGAAAGAGACTACAGTCACCACCACAACTGAAAATGCTGTAGACTTTGGATGTCCAGCTCCAAGCTCATTACTCACTCTCACACTGCTTGCAGTAAATCATAAAAAGTAAAAGTAAGTTTAAATAATTCCATGTTCTCTACATAAAAACGTTTTGTGACCTATCAATATTTATGTATAGGACCCTTCATAAGAGGAATTCGAATCCATAGTGGCTGGAGCGGGAGATATCGACAATCATATTCTAACTGTATCGGGTTATCAACATATCATTCATATTATTGATACTTCCGATAATTGATTGTACAGCTTTTGATATCATTTCAATATGTTTATCGACATGGATTCAGCTCCGCCTATAGTGAAGCGGGATCCCTTTCATCGATGACCTTACATCAGGTGCATGTATGTAATATATATATATATATATATATATATATATATATGAATATGGCACTGACCTTGCAGCTGCATTTAGCCCAACTGAGATCATGAAGACCCATCCATTGATTGTCATGCTGCAATTAATTAAAAAAACCTCATATGTCAAACTTAATTAAAGACACAAAATTAGGTTTCTATGTAGAGTTGGTGGTTGGTTCTGAGAAACTAGCACATCAAATATTAACCACCTTCGACTCGGAGAGAGCATGACATGACGGTTGCAATTGTAAAGAATTATTGTTTTGTTGTCCCACGCTTGGTGCTCTTAATATATAGAAGAGGATTGGAACATTAAATAAAATGTGCCACACACTAGACAAAATAAATTTATTTTCCAAGGTATATGATTGTAGTCTCTGTGCAACTAGATTTAACTTATTTACAGTCGTGTCATGATTCACCCACTAAATGGGACCAAATGATATTGATTTCAATCTAGTCCAAATCATGTAATGGATGATCACGAAACGAGGCATGTGTATTAGGATATGACTCTAGGCTGCTGGATTTAACCTAATCTCAATTATGTCACAACCATGTCTGTTACTCCCAAGTTTTCTAATTTCTTACTATTCTCATTATCGTTCCATAAACATATCATACTGAATTCAACCTAGTCTTAATCATGTCATGATCCGCTCACCAAATGAGGCCGTTACACGGCCTTCATGCGATGGTGAGGTCCATGCTAGTTAGACCCATTTTTAGGGCTAGTGGTCCAAGGATTGCCTAAAGCCTAAAAGCAGAAACTAGAAATTGAGAAAGAGATGTTATTTAGTTTAGCTTGGCTGGCAACTTCCATTTCTGTGCACCATTGAAACATGAATTAATAGAATTATGCCAAAAAAGAAATATTAGGAAAGAGACAAAACACAAATTTGCTTTTGGCTAGTAATAATGCATAGAAGACAAGAATATTTATCAAACAATGCAAGTGCCACGTGGGTATGAAATGAAATTAGAATTTGACTTGGAGACCACAAAGATCCTAGTCATTTCGTTCACATCTTCCATCTAGCCAGCAATTACATATGTGGAAAATTCCATCTAAAATGTAAGGCTAGGTCTCGACGCTTAAGCATAAGTAAATCCATTCAATCCTAATTCAAATAATACTTGCCAACTTAGATAGACAAAATAATATCATGACCACTTGCATGTAAACACGTGACAGGTTGCAGACTCATCGATCTCAACAAGTCTCGCAATGCATTACGATTCGTAATTAGTTGATTAAATTGTTAAATACTAAAAAACGAAGAATTAAAGGAGATCAAACTTGAACCAAAGTATATAAACATTATTATTTTTCGCTATTTGCAAAATCACCGAAAAGAAATAATTAACTATCTTTCCTTTTGAATTATAAAAAAATGAGTGAATGCAGATTCATTCACCTCTCAAATCATAAATGAAATCATTAGGACAATTTAGAGTTTACCTACTACAGCATAAAATATGTTGTTTTCACACTATTTTTTATATCAATAATTGAAGCCAACACGACAACTTAGATTCACCTCTTAATCCATTCATAAACCTCTCTTTTTATTGTTTTCTGAGACTATTTTTACTTATTTTTTATCAATAATTGACGCTTTGGTGAGCGAGAAGAAGCCAAGTCATCCACTGATTTTAATTAGAGATTCCTAACAACATGTGACCCAAAGTCTTGACCCCTTGATCATACACAACTACATTTGTGATTGGTAAATTGGTTAAGTTACTAGTTTATATGGGAATATTTTACACTTCTTCTTCTTGTACTTTTCTTTTATTTCTCACTTTCTATATTAAAAAAAAATTGATAATCAAGAAACAAAAATAGAGTATGCACATCATCTATTTTATTGCATGTATATCAATTGGCATCCAGATATTCGCCGCCTTAATTATTAAAAGAAAAAAATTGGTAATGCTAGAGATATTAAATTTGTAAACTAAATTGTGTAAACTAAATTACATAGAAGTTGAGGATATAGTTATTGCTTAAGTGTTGATAAACGTGTTCATTTCTTATTGGTGACAAGTCATTTAATTTGCAAATTTTGTTTACAAATTTAATCTACAAATTTTGTTTACAAATTTAATCTACCTAGTATTAACCGAAAAACAGTTGTCCTAGTACCAGCAAATACTAATAAAAGAAGTTTTTCTTGTGGTCCAAAATTTTTTAAGCGTGGAGCATCTGGTACACTAAATATCTTAATACAAAGGATTAAATATTTGGTATTTGGACCGGTTTTCCGTCACATTAAAAAAGTTTCTACTTATGGCCGAGTGTAAATAATTAACTATAGGGTTGGGGTCCGACCAGTATTGAGTAGTGACGTATGATATTAAGGCATACCTGTGAAGATCCAAGTATTGTCGTGGAAATAGTATAAGCATTTTTCCTTGGGGGTCAGGTCATTATAGAAGCACCTCTTCCTTGGGTAAGAAAAACAAGGAAAAGGAATTTTACATAGTTTTTTCACCCTTAATTTTTATTTTATTTTTATAAACAAAGATGTGTATAAGGTGAAATAAAAAATGATAAACAAACGCTATTTTAATTTTTCATAGACAATTGTCTGATTATGTTTGTTGAATCCGTTTAATTCATTTAATTCGACAATTAAAAATTAATCAGCGGTGTGAGAATCTAAAAAAGAAACTGACAAAAAACATGAAAAACAGTTAAAGAACTTTTAACCAGGGCTTACCAGATAGAGAGAGAGTCAAGGGCCAGCTCAGGGTTTTCCAGCAACCCAGCAAGCAAAACAAGAATCTGAAAGTACCACGTCTCCAGGCAAAGCATGACAGCAGACGCCACAGACAACTTGAAAAAACTGTACAATCCGCTGAAAGCTTGCCACGAAAACCCTGTCCACGTGTTCTTACACCTGTCACTCTTAACAATGTACACGAACTGTGCCACCACGGTGATCCACCATGACAGACTCAGCACCAGCGATGCACCCAGCAAACCCAACCCCACCTTGTACACAGCAACCCAGCTGAGCAAAATGTGGATAACTAGGGTTCCAGTCGATATATAAGCACTTGGGGCAACTATGCTTTGAGATTGCATGAACTTTTGGATCGGGAAGTTGACAACGTAGGCAAAGATCTGAGGGATCAGTCCGTACACATAAACTGCAGCTGAAGAAGCAATGCTTGGAGATTCACCAAGTAAAAGCAAGATTGGTTCGGAGAAGACGTAAATAATGGTGAGGAGTACACCAGGGAAAAATAGGAGGACTGTTGATCTTTGTAGGTATATGCCTAACATTTTGTACTTTTGGGCACCGTGTGCTTGTCCACATAGGGTTTCCACTGCGCTTCCCATACCCAACTGTTCGGACATAAGAACAAATAGTAAGACAGATGTCGGAATTACGGACTTTCTCGGTGTCAAGGACTGGTTTGAATTATTACAACTCATTAGATTGAGATGTATGTTGAATGAAAAAATGGATGCGAACTATTGAATTTTTTTTATTTCGAATCTCCCCAAAAATGGTCGGATTTAGAAGATTAAGTTTCCTTCCTGAACATTTCCAAGTTTAACTTAGATAAAACCTGAAAATCGACATACGTTTCTTCCTATTACATACATTTAATCTAGTGATTTATTCGATCCAAGATACCAAAACTCGCAAAATTTATCCACTAAATTCATTTCATGAAAGATGCAAATACGCTATGATCACTAAAATTATTTTATCAAATTTTGATCACCAAACAGTCTGTTAATAATTCCGTTGCATACCAAAAGACCATAGGCGAAGATTTGGATGCCATTGTTGCCGAGGGAGGAGGCGGCGAGCTCGAGATTACCAAGGTGGCCGCAAAACATTTGGGTGGACATGGACATGACATAGTTGATCATGTACACGATGATGGCGGGGGCGGCGAGGACGACGAGGAGCTTGGACTCGATCCATAGGGCAGGTTTAAGCCGCTGCGAAAACGGCTTGTAGGTGTCGCATAGTACTTGTTCCAGCTCTCCGCTTGCATGCTCTTCGTGAGCATGCTTTGAGGTGAAGGATTTGGTGGACGGAAGGGGACGGTAGGATTCCAACAGAGGATATTGGAGCTCGTTTTTGGGAGAAGTCATTTGGGAGATTTTAGTTTTGAAGCAATCTGCTGGGTTCAGCGCTGCTAGGTGCGGGAAGAGTGGTGTAGCAAGTTTGTTTAAGTAGGTAGTATTAGGAAGGGATAAATGATGGTTATGGGGTACGTGACAAATGGGATAGGTGAGATCTGGACAAACAAGAGAGATGATGTAAGATGGAGAGAGCCACCGTGGTGGAAGTTCCAAGTTTTGATTTGTGAGCCAAAACATTCAAATCATATGTCGATAGGCGTGGAACATATGGGTTGCTATTGAACAAAAAAAGAACAAAAAAGTTACAACGTGGTAATAATGTAATAATATAATGAAGAAATGATGTCTCTAAACTCTTATTTTGAAGAGCAAGTGGCTATTTACCGTAATGGTGGAAATGAGTTGAGTTTCTGCATGACGGTGTGAATTTGAACTTCATTGGTGGATAATCTAACATCTTATCTAACAAAATTTATTGTTTTGATGTACTGAACCGTGTTTACGATACTCTGAAAAATCTCTCATTACTTTATGTATTTTTTATCCTTTTTTTTTTATTCTCCATGCACCACTATATATTATTGTTTTTTTTTCATTCTACTCTGATTTATTCAATTTAATGACAAAAAATATACGTGCATGAGAAAAATAAGTTTGTAAAAATCACTTTTCTTTTTTTTTTTCTTAGTTCTTTGTTGCTTTATTCGATTCAAATACCAAAATTAAATATGAGTGACATGAAGAGAAAAGAAGTGTGAAAGTTAATTCCCTAGTGTGCACATATTTGATTTTTTTTCTAGACTTCATAAACTTTACTTGCATATTTCTAAAGTTTGAAAGCTTAATATTCAGCGTTCAAACAAATATGGGTTAGTCCAGTTGGCCAAATTCGAACCCCCTCTCTTTGGTCACCACATTCAACCTATATTATTTGAAAGCTTATTATAAAAATTGTACTTTTAATATTCAACGTTTCAGCAAATATGAGTTAAGCTAGTGAATCAGATGCGAATCCCCACTCCTTAATCCGTATGGGGTAAATCCGTAATGCACGACTTTTACTAATATAAAATTGTATCATTTTCAATCATTGAATTTATATGCACAAGTGTTGGAAATCAAGTTTAACATGGTATGGTAGGTGTTCATATTTTGTTGGACTTTCTAAAATTTAAAAGCAGAGAACAAGTTTCTCTTTTGCATCATATTACACTACTAAAACTAATATTTTAAATGCTATAGTTTATAATTGCTATTCACGTTGGCTGTCCAGCAACCCAGAGGAATAAATAATCACACAAAAAGCCAATTGGAAACTCCCTACTTGCGTAGACAATTCTGGGGAGTAAAATATTTGGTGACCGAAACATAACTTGCCTATATTATGAAAACGACTTGCATGAAATAGATTATTGAACAAGACGTTACGTTGGCAGTGAACCTGTAATATGTAAGTTTCTCTTCCATGTCATGAGCTGATCATATCTCTGACCAGTAATGTCAAGTTCACATCAGATCAGATTGTGCAATTGCAGCAGGTAAAAGCTACTGTTAAATAAACGAGGCAGAGAATCTCTGGTGTCTGCAACCAAACTTCAAGGAAGAATATTCAGAACCACCAAGGGGAGGAAAGCAACGAAAGCAACATCAAGTTCCCAGTGTGAAGACCTGCAATGCAGAAACGTGTACTGTGACAGGACGAAGTCTTGCGAGCAGAAGGGCCATTTTATAACTATTTCGTTTTTAGTTTTTTCGTTATGGATAGAAGGGATGGTGGGACGGACGCGGAAGAAATGTATATGAAATGTTATACAAAATGAAAGCTAAAATCCGAAACTGAAAACGATTTTATGTTGTTTTCAGTTTCGAGTTTTTGTTTCTGCATTCTCCTTCATTTCCCCTCCTCCTTTCCTCGACACCCCACTCTTCCTTGTTTATTTCTTCACCCAGTTATTGTCCCTCTATCTTTAGCACAAAAATAAAAAACTAAAAACAAAATGGTTATCAAACTGGATTTAAGTTTATAACGGAAAGATAAATTTGAAATTTTGTGTCAAAGTCACTTACCACTTTGTGCAGATGTTGCTTTAGGTACCGCTGGAATTTTTGTAGCTGCAACCCCACCAAGTTTTGGAACAAGTCAAATGAAAAGCAGTGTAAAAAGTGTGGCTGGAATATAAACCATAAGGAGCATAGGATACTAAATTCAACTAAAAAATGTAGAGCTTAACACATTTCTCGCATACTTTTCTTGCAAGATGATGGAGATTCAGAAGACAAAGACGGCCATGGAGCTGCAACGTTGTCGTTAAGATCACAAATGAAGCTGATTCCCGAAGTTTTATCATAAGTCGCATCCAAAGGCAAGCTCGGCAGAAGGCAGCCATACTCTATTGACAGTATAAACGGAAAACACAAAATTTTAGAGCAGCGAACACATTGGATAGTAAAAAGCTAGAACGAAAGAGAAGAATTGTTAAGAGAAAATTTTGTGAACGGATTTGTTCATATTAACCATATGAAAAGAACTGGCCTAGATGATTCTACAAACAGAGATTGTTAGCCTGATACACTTTCACTATTTTTATATGACACGTCAAAATTATCTCAAGCTCATCCTCATTGTATCATTAGTACAGATACAAGCATACGATAATTCTTGTTAGCTTAGCTAATGGTTTGTTAACATTTGATTAAAAGTAAATCAGCTGATGTGGCATCGGCTAATCATTCTAAGCTTCTGTCATATAAGTTTGTGCTTCTAATTTTAGTAAATCAGTACGCAAGTATTCCAAATTCTTTCATTTCTTTCTTCAAGTCCTACAACACACAAGAACCATTATTACTGTCACAGTATAGGAGAATAAGGGAGAAAATGAGAGTAAAGTTGCAAGTTGTCAACCAACAGAGTCGAGACAAAGCGAAAATGTATCATAGTAACGAAAAGTTGAAAGTGGCCAATTGTATGTTTCTATGATATATTAAGAAGTACCTTGTGAACCAACTGGTGCATCCAATTAGTAAAATCCACCCCCACGAACAATAAATCGGAAAAGAATATGCTAATCAGTATCAGTTTTCGCCAAAATGAAGAACTGAAAGAAGATTATATACTGTATTCGTTCATCCAATCAGATATAATAACACTGACCTTGAAGAGAGAAGTCCTTGAGGTTTATATGACATAGATTATAAACATTGGACACATTAGCTTTCAGCAACTTTTCTCCAAGTGATGCTGCACAATTCAAGGCCTGCAAGTTTGTAATGAAGCTCTGTTCTTGCAACCGGGAAACATAACTATCCATTGCATTGCAGCATGCTGTCTCATTTCTTATCACATTTGCACATTCTTTCACAACCCTTGTCATGTTGGGGAAAACCAGAGGACACACTGAACCATACGCAACGAAAACATTGAAGATCTATAAGTCAACATATGATTGATAACTCTGAAATAAAAGGGTCCTTAGGCTATTTGTGTGCTGACCTTTATTTACTTTGCAACTTGAAAGTCCTCTAAGAGTCTTATTCACAGAAGAAGGATCAAGGTTACCGGCCAGCCATCGTAGGACAATATTCTTACAATCATCAATCCTAGTTGAGTGCTCAGGAAACTCGTGGACCCCTTCCGAAGTTGGCATACCAATCGCGGCAATTGTTCTAGAAGCATCTAATATGGCATTTTGGCAAACTTGATCACAACACTCATTGACGGGATCAACGTTTTTACAAGCAGCAAGTAGTTTTGAAGAATCCACAGTGCTCTCAAACATATCAACCTCTGTAACAGGGCAAGAGGCTGCAGTAAGGTTTTCTGGTCGAATTGAGCAAATCTTTTGAATATTCTCGTTTGCTCCTTGACCCTCTAGGATCTTCTCAACATCTGAGAGGCAGTGTTTTGCATGAGTTGCATTCAAAGAGAGCATCCCAGAGGATTTACTTGAGTGTCCTATAAGAGTTGCTAAGGTGGCATCAAATTGAGGACAACAAACTACATCGGCCAATAAGGGTGCGAAGAAAGCCCAGCAGTCAGTTGCTGTTATGGTCATCATATTTACAGCCGCTGAAAAATTTAATGTACAGAGTCCTGAAACATATAACGAACCATCATGTGCTTCTCCACATTTTCCATGACATAAAAGTGCCTATTTGTTAAGCATTTTCTGATGAATTTCTGCACTAAGTGAACCATTCAAACTTCAAGCGTGCAACCTAATTAAAACTACTAGAAGATTCTTCACTAGAACTTGGACAATGTAGGATGCCTTCAACTTCTAATTGATAGATAAACTCACCGGACTTTATCTTCTTAGAGAACGACTAATCCTATCACATGGTAATTCACAAGAAGTATTCTTGACATTGCTCCTCGTACCTGATAATGCTGGGACGCTGTTATTCGTGAATGGCGTCAATGGTGAAGGGGCTAATAAAGGAAGAAAAGGCTGAGGGTTTACACCGGTTGCAACATCAGGAGCTACCGCTTCCGCATCCCTAACCGGGTCACAATGGGACTCATATACACCTGCAAACACGTTAACAGAACCTAAGCTCTCATAAGTAGAAAACCCAACTCAGTCATCAACAAGAAGACAGGTCTAATACATGAGCAGTCCTCAAACTTCAAACAAATAAGATAAACAATTAACATGCCAAATTGCCAATCCAATTGGAAACATATATTGAAACTACCACAACCCAATAATCTAATCTGCAGAAACCATAATATACCAATGTACCCATAAACTTTACTCCAACATACCAACTAAAAAATTTCCATGCTGAAATAAAACCCCACCCAAAAAAAACCTAAAGGGGAACACCAATCACTTGGTAGGACCAGTACAACTCAAAAAATGCCCAGTATAAATGCAGACAGAGAAGCAGTAACAGAAAGTATGAAACTTTCAACACTTATACAAATACAGGTAGAGGTTGTAATGCAAAAACCCAACTGATAATTTTAATGAAACCACAGAATGTATGAAATTTAGTAAGGACAATGGAAAATTTGAAGAAAAGGGAGATAAGCCGAATCACTTACAGAGAAGGAGAAGTAGAGTAAGAAAAATGTGAGAGACCCTTTCTCTCATTCTTGCATTTGTTCGGTGTCTAGTTTCCAACTTTAACATCTGATAAGTAACATTTGGAGATTTTAGGGTTTGAAACCAGGTGAAATTGGCAGGGGAAGAAGAAATGGGAAGCGGAGTGAGAGTGTCAGAGAGAGAGAGAGAAATGGAGTTCAGCCTCTCTCACTCCAGCCATGGCACAGTTCGCACGTGTGACGGAGGAAGCCACGTGTTGCGGTGAATGTCAGGGATGATCACGTGCTGGAAGCCCAAGGCTCTAGGGTTGGCACGTGAGCAGTTGCTTGTGTGTGTCGAGTTGTGTTGCGTTTAGGTGCGGCATGGCGGCTTTTGACCCGTCGGATGCCGGTCAGAAAAGGAGAGAGAGCCGTCGGATGCAAGCAAATTAGAGTATCTCCTTTCTTTTTAGGGCTATCTCTACATTGTACAGGGAAGAAGGATTTTTTTAGGATATTATACAGTCAACAAGTTTAAGGTGATTAAACTACCGATTTATTCGAAATACATGAATAACTACACGATCTTCAAATTAAATAAAATTTTTGTGTTATTTTAGATGATGATGCAAATAGAATGAATGGTGATGTTTTACGGTCACGTTAGTGGAAAATGAGGAATTTTCTCGTTATTAGGAATGAGGGATGTATTATCTTTATTGAGACTTTTCTCTTTATTTACTAACGTGATGTCATTTAATCGTGCAAACTTTATAATCGAAATCATTCATTCTCTTATCATCATATATAGAAACATTCATTTAATTTTAAAACACTATAGTCATCATATGAATCAAAGAACTTGACAATTCCCCATGAGGATGCAAGTCTAGACAACTTTCAAGTCGAATGAATTTTTATAGATATTATATTTAGATTTATGATAAGAAGAATAAAAGTTGGGGTTATGACCTTTACATGGTAAAATGATATCACATTACAGAGAAATGAGAGTTTTCATTCTTATTTGAAATAAGGGAAGTATTACCTTTTGCGGATAAAATGAATCATGATGTTTCAATTTTCTCATATTGCACATAGAAGTTCTGAAATAGTATCAAACCTAGAGGGAAGTATTATCCTTTTACTCATGTGATGAAAATATTGTTTACACTTTAGCCCTGAACTAGTCTTACGTCTATCATGTTATAGATATAATGAAAGACTTGGGAGGTCAAATAATTAGAAAGCATAAGAATTCAAAACATCAAAGGTGTAATGTGTGAAAAATGCAACCCCATAATCCATTTTGAAGATCGCCACATACCTAAAGAATGTAAAATTTAGTTGATTTTTTTTTTTTTTAAAGATAGTATCTACCCTAAGGATGGGGGAGTGGACTAAGTCTTATAATAGATTTGCCATAATAATGTGTTTCAACTTCGCCTTTAGCGAGAATCGAATCTAAAACACTTACAAGTCTTGACCATTCATGTAATCTAACGAATTTAATCCTCCCACATCATATTAGAATAGAATGCACATTTTGCACCTTAGCACTAATACATTTCTCTACGAGTCTTCTCCTTGTCCTTTTCCACTTTTCTTTCGACGCTCAATGCCAACTGGTTGAAAGACTACAATTATTTATTTCAGTTAACAATTCAATTCCTAGAACTAATCGTCAATTTTCCTTTTGACTGAAAATTTCAAAGAGATATATAATAGTTACGAAATGAGCGTTCTTGATAATTAAATAGATATAAATACACACACAAAATATTGTTCTTCGATTGTTTTTATTTTATTTTATCAAATCTTGTTCTTCGACTGGATCGCAGGGGAAGAGATAAATAGTAAGATTTACTGACGTTAGTCATTACCCCAAAAAAATTTAGGTTGAGAAAGTTATTTGTCTGTCCCTTCACACACCCATCATATTATGGAGCTTGTTATATCTTTATGATGGAAGACAATAGATAGTTGGATATTGCACAATAAAACTTACACAGCCATAGCAAGCACTTTGATGACAAGTGCTTCGTGATTTTACAGAAAGTGGAGAAGACAACGAGATAGAAGGGTGTAGGAGACGGCAAAGAAAAGGAAACGATATGGTACAAAGGGGATTTAATTCAAGAGGATTGGATTCCATTCGATTACATGAGTTTATTCCGATATAGTAGGCAAAGTGTTGGTAAGATGCATGTAAAAAAAATCTGGAAAAGAGTAGACCCCGGAGTTTTAAATTATAATTTTGGAAATTACTACAACATAGTAGGCAATTATATATGAAGGGTTCTTACCGGTAAGAACATGTTCATTAGGTGAGCTGAATATTTACAATCATTCTTACCAGTAAGAACCTTTGTAAATTTTCAGCTCTAATAATGAACGTGTTCTTACCAGTAAGAACACGTTCATATATGATTAGAGTCTTGTTTTGTACTAATTTCTAAAAAAAAAATTTAGGCCTTTGGTTCTACTCTTTCCTAGATTTTTTTTTTAATTATTCCGAAATAGTAGGCAAAGTGTTAGAAAAATACATGTCATAACAAGCCTCACGAGTTATCGCCAGAATGCAGGGCATGACTTGTCTTGACACGCTAACTCTCGTATCGTGGCATGCCAAAACATCGTTGTTGGCATGCGATGACATGTCACATGTCTTGACACGCTAACTCTCCCATCATGGCACGCCATAATAAGCCTCGCGAATTGTCGATATAATGCATGGCATGTCATAACATGCATTCTGCTGACAATTTGCGACGCTTGTCATGTTGGGGCCAACATCGATGTTTTGACGTACCACGATGCGAGGGTTAGCATGTCATGCCATGCATTTTTCTAACACTTTGACATGCTAACCCTCGTATCGTGTCACGCCAAAACATCGATGTTGATATGCTATGACATGTCATGGCATGCATTTTACTGACGTTTTGCGTGCTTGGCTTGTGATGGGAATGTTATGGGATTAGGATGCCAAGACATGTATTGCGGACATCTAAATTATTCTGAAATAGTAGGCAAAGTGTTGATAAAATGCTGGCATGCCAAGACGCGAGTGTTAGTGGAGCTATGACTTGTCTTAACATGCTAACCCTTGCATCGTGGCATGTCATAACAAGCCTCGCGAATGGTTGACATAATGCATGGCGTGTCATGACATGCATTCTGCCAACAATTTGCAACACTTGTCATGTAGGGGCCAACAATAAGTTTTGGCGTGTCACGATGTGAGGGTTAGCGTGTCATGTCATGCATTTTTTTAACACTTTGATATGCTAACCCTCGTATCATGGCATGCAAAAACATCACTGTTAGCCCCAACACTAGCCTCGCTTCTAAATAATTCCGAAATAGTAGGCAAAGTGTTGGCAAAATGCATGTAAAAAAAAAGATCTAGGAAAGAGTAGACCCTCTAGCCTTAAATTTTTTTTTAAAAAAATTAATACTATATAGTAGGCAATTATATATGACTAGTTCTTACAGATAAGAACATGTTCACTAATTGAGCCGAAAAATTACAAAGGTTGTCAGCGGTAAGAACGCATGTAAATATTCAGCTTCATAATGAACGTGTTCTTACTGGTAAGAACGCGTGTAAATTTTCAGTTCTACTAATGAACGTCTTCTTACCGATATGAACACATTCATATATGACTAGTGTCCTGTTTCGTACTAATTTATTTAAAAAAATAATAATTAGGCCTCGGGGCCTACTCTTTCCTAGAATTTTTTTTTTTAATTATTCTGAAATAGTACGTAAACTGTTAGAAAAATGCATGTCATAGCAGGCCTCGCGAGTTGTCGCCATAATGCAGGGCATGACATGTCTTGACACACTAACCCTCACATCGTGGCACGCCATAACAAGCCTCGCGAATTGTCGGCGGAATGCATGGCGTGCCATGACATGCATTATGCCGACAATTCGCGATGCTCTTGTCATGTCGGGGCCAACAAGAATGTTTTGGCATGCCACTATGTGAGGGTTAGCATGTCATACCATGCATTTTTCTAACATTTTGACACGCTAACCCTTGTATCCCGGAACGCCAAAACATCGTTGTTGTCACATGTCAAATGATAAATATAGAAACTCGGGATCCTACAATAATGGTTAAACGAATTTAAGTTATAACTAATTTCTTGTTATTTACCCTTACACCTTTTTTTGTTGTTGTTGGATTTCACCCTCACAGCTGAAACCCTAAACTTTTCGGTGCTAGAATACTTGGTAATAAAATGTGAACGAAGAGAGTCAGTGTCACATACTTCTAAATTTGGGGCTTTGTGCCCTTGTGAAAGGTAGTTGTCTCCCATTATATATCATGTATGATAACAATATGAATAGGAAAGTTGAAACCACCATCCACATCTGCATACGCGCAACAAGGCTCCAATATTTCGTAAAGAAATCAATAAAACAATGAACATAAATATCTGATCCATGTGAGATATGTTTCTAAAGACACTTTTAACGCGTAAAACCCTCTCATATGTGTGTGTGTGGGTAAATACATAATTTCAGGATTAATTTCAACGACCCTGAAATCGCGGTATACACAATGCAATGCAGAGAATTTGAAACTATTGGTGCTCAGAATTCACATGATATGCAGTGAACCCACCTCACCATGCAGAGCATCTCCATCACATGCAGTGAACCCCACCCGACCACCCTTTACAACCAATTACGTGATATAGGTGTCCAACACATTAGTTTGCAGACACGTACATGTTACTAATTGCTAGCCTTGACTTGTATTTTACTTGCCGATAATCGGAAAATGTTCTCTTGTCAAATTTATGTTGTTAGTTACGTAAATTTTGGTGGTGTCAAATTGTAAATCCTCATCAACTATTGATGATATTTATAAATTCAATGCGTCGAAACCTACATATATACTAGTTTAAATACCAAACATCACAGACTGAGTAATATTATTATACCAGACTTATATTGTCAAATAAATATTTACGTTGTTTTGCAGTGAATTTGAATCGCACACCTAACTTAAGCATCTTATACCTGTTGTTTTAGGAGTATGATCTGTCCAAGCAACAATTCCATCAAGTCTGTTCTCTGCGCGTCATCATTATAATAGTCCTATAAGCAAAAACCAGTTCATCATAAAACGCAAATATACAAAAGTACTGTTCTAGCTGATGGCATGAGCTCATATGACACTTTAATTCGTTATATGATCGATGAACTTATAAATGTGGACGGTTCCTACATCTATGTATGCTTAATATTGTAATATAAAAGGTAGTTAAAATTTGGTGAAGCCCATCTCTGTAGCTTGCATGTATAATTAGAGAACAACTTCATGATAAAGATATACTGTCATCATGGTGTGCTGGACGATTAACTGAAAATCATACTGAATGAATAAATTTACACATGTCGTTGAATTATTGGCATGAAAAGTCATTGCAGCAGTGTACACTGCCATATTAATCCTTCTCTTATAATTGGGGTCACTTGCTGGTAATTGGATCATGATGGAATATGTATATTTTACGTGCACGAATTGAGTACTATCGGTTTGTACGATTAATCGTTTATCGGATCATCTCATCGTCACCAAAATAAGTAGCTAGCTAGATAATAGGATTAGGAATGGAAAAGAAATGATCGGAGCTGGATTGTACCAACTTTGTCACATACTTAATTCTGATTGATACCCTCTATTGGGAGTACGTAAATTGCATAGAATCCAGCACGTATGTAGAAATAAAACCTACCATTAACAACAAATTTTAATTAAGCGTCATCTGGTGTCATCTACAGTGGCTGTACTGTACCTTGTATTTGGCAGTGATTTAGGGGAACTTAATTAATTAAACTATAATTAGTATTATTTTATCTAAGTTTAAGCCAAACACGTATGCATATATATTGGACGGATCGAAAGGAATCTTAATCGAATAGAAAGACCATTATATTAAAGGACACTAATAAAAATGATTTGAAAATTTTGAGTTTTAACGATAAGGACAAAATAAAATGTAAAGTGAATAGTACCAGTATTGACTTTTTAGTGTAAAAATGTGATTTTTCGTTAAATTGAACAGTACCAGAAGTTTTTCGTTAAATTTCCTTTATATTAATGCAGATACTTTTGAATTGTGTTTCTGGTTGACCAGAACTAGAAATAAAAAACTCAGTTAATAAACGGTTACGCAAATCACATAAAACAAACACATACGCGGTATGGTAGAATATTTTTGACAATTCTAGAAATATAAGAGATCGAGAATCGCTTAATTAATTTTTGTGAGCAAGTGTAGTGTTGTTCTCAAGCAATAATTAAATGTTAATCCCACTTTTTCCTTCAAAATATTCGGCGCAACAAACGCAACCTCATGTGCTTTTCTTTCACCCTTCTCCGGTTCTCCATCTATATATATTAATGCAAACACTTTTATATACCCCTACCACCTCTCTCTCTCTCTCTCTCTCTCTCTCTCTCTCTCTCAAGTAATACTCCATTTTTTCTAGAAAATCTCAGCTATGGGAAATTGTTTGAGAAATAATAACAAGATTGCATCACAAGATTATGAGAAGCATGAAGCAGCAAAGGAAGCAGAACCCCCAGAAGCCAGAAAAACAGCAATGCCATTGCCGTCGAATTTGAAGCAGGAGAAGAAGTCTGTGAGGTTTAATTTACAAGAAGATCATCAAAACAGTGGTAAAAGAGTTGATGGTGGTGATTCTAAAACTGGTGGGGCTGTGAGGATTAGACTGGTTGTCACACAGGAGGAGCTGAAACAGCTGCTGAATTATAAGAAAGATTCAAACCACTCATCTTTGGAGGAATTGTTGAATGCTGTCAAATCCAGAGGAACTAGGGTGTCTGAAATTAATGGAACAAGTAGTGATGATGAAAGCATAAGCAGTGGTGGTTGCTGGAGGCCAACTTTAGAGAGCATTCCAGAGGATCAACATTGATATATATATATATATATATATATATATATATATATATATATTATACACTAATTGTATCTATATATATCTATCTATTGGGTTAGTATTTAATCACCATATCATCATTGTACTAACTTCAAGTCTGCAAATTTGTTCAGTTGACTCATTATATGTTCGCCATCAAAAGCCAAAATTTGTGGTTTACTTGTTCACGATAATTACTTGTGTTTTTACTTTTATGTTGCATATGTAAGTTAAAGGCGCAAATCAGAAAAGTAGGTGATCGTTCAACAGTCGAATAAATTACTAATTCATATCTGCTTTAAGTTGCAACTGCAACCAAATTGTTTAAGACAGTTAGGCCATTATTTTTTGAACTTTTGAAAGAGTATGGTAGTTACATATTTGAATTTAACCGAGTTGGCTCTACACCAAGTTCAATGCCCGTCTTATAATTTAAACTAGAGGGTATTTGTCAATTTCCTCCCATAACTTGTAAGGAGTTGCTAGTTTTCTCCATAACTTTAATTTTAGCTGATTATCTCATATAATTAGCCAATTTCCTCTTAACGTTAGATCTTGGAATTTTTCATTCAAATTTTTATCTGTTTTGGTAACATGGCAAATGTTTGATGGCAATAAGTAATTTTATCCCTAATGCGGACAACGGATTGCTTTTTTCTTCATCTCATTATCTTCCTCTAGCTGACTCGGTACACTTTTTGTTTGAATTAGCCATGGGAGTCCAATTACAAGCTGCAAATTATTGGCTTTGTACCCAATTTTCCAAAACAAAATTACCTTTTTGACCACATACAATTGCCATGTGTTGTCTGCGTGAACAAGATGGATGAAAAATTGAATGAAAATTTTCAAAATTTAATGCTAGGGGGAAATTGTCTATTTATAAAAGTTTAGGGGGGTAATTGGCTAAAATTAAAGTTCATGAGAAAATTAGCAACTTTATACAAGTTTAGAGAACAAATCGACAAATATGTCTTTAAATAAATTGGAGTATCACTCCTAATAAAAAAAAATTAGAGTGTAGTCTTTAAGTTTATATTTAGAAGAATGCATACATTGCCTCTGATAACAAGTTTGTAATCGCTCCTACATAGAGAGTTTGTGAGAAGCAACATAAACAATAATAAAAAGACAGTCAAATATAAGGTTTCGAGTTCAATTCTCATACCTAATGAGTTTGATATTTAATTACAATCATTTTCTCTCCTTTAAAATTGTTGTATCAAAAGGACAAAAAAGTGTAAGACATAAATAACAATCAAATTTAGTAAGCTAATATCAAGGTATTTAAATATATATTGGGTATGGCTAATTGACAAATCGACCCACACAGCATATATAGGGGTGCTTTGCCATTTGGCATCTGTTGGGTTTTTGGCTTGACAAATTTGTCACACGGCATATTTGATGCGTTTTCTGGCATGGATTTGGGCAAGATTGTGCTCTTTCCTTTCGTTTATCGTTTACACTAAATCCATTCTTTTCGAGTTTCCCAAAAAAAATAAAAAAAATCCATTCTTTTTCGAATCCTTCAAGACGACACGAGGCACTCATCCTTTACACTTATACGAGTCATGTTAACCCCAAAATAATTGGATGAATTCAGTGAATTAATCACAATTTGTCATCAGTACCGACATGAACTTCTTGCCGACGTCTTTTAAGTCGTTAAATCAAATTCAATTGTTATCGGTCACCAGTGCCTAAAAATACTCAAAAAGTTGAACCAGTGGATAGAAAACATGACGAAATATCTAATTGAGAAATTATTGTATGGTGTTGCAAGATCACCGCGTGTTGTAACAATCTTCTTGTGTTACAACATATAACAATATTACAGTACCATACATTTCTCAAAAATTTCATTCTCTTGGTCACATTTATCAGTCACATAGTAATCGATGATTCTTAAACTACTCATCCTTAGATTTGATATCAATAATCAAGATTTACAACCTATTCATTTATTTTCCTTCCTCTTAATATCAAATCAAAAAGCGAGTCACCATAAATCTCTGCATTCTTCAAGCTGTTTTTTTTTTTTGAATAAACAATATTATTCACAATAAATGAGTGAGAAATTAGGCCAAACCTCATCATAAACTAATAATAATGTGTTCAAATTCACATATAACGAAAATCGAGCACTAATTCGTTATTATAATTGGGTGGGGTTTGAGGAGGAGTTAGATTCATCATGTGCCATGAACAAAATATCACATTGGTCGTTTATCGTGTTCAAGGGCACAACACTGCCTATAATCTTGCTACCCTTGAAAACCCAAGGTACGTATTTAAATGCTTTAGAACAAGCAAACAATCGGAACCGGAAAATTATTCTACTGCTCGAAACTATCTTTTTAACCCTGTCGAAAGACCGACAAACCAACAAGCCTACACAACCCTGGGCAGTGTTAAAATGAATAACCAAAAATCGCCGTCCAGCGAAAAGGGATCGTTTCCTATGATCTTTATTTTCTTCCTCACATTCAATTGAAAACGCTTCCGGTGGGATGGATAACAAGTCCTCGGAACAACGCGATTCAACTACTGCTTGCTTAGGTTCCTGATAACGTATTGCAGAATGCCTCCGTGGTTGAAGTATTCCAATTCCACCTGCAAGTGCAACCAAATCACAATATGAGCAACCTAGAAAGAGATCTTTCATGACGAGGCTCATGCTCGCGAAAGCGTAGTAAATGTGTTACCGAACAGTATTATCACGGAACATTACTTGGTTTTACTTTTAGAATAAAACGGAAATTAGACAAAAGCAATGTAATACACGGATGATGAAAGTAGCAAGTACCTCAGTGTCAAAGCGAACAGTGCAGGTGAAAGATTTTCCATTGTCCGTTGTGACAGTCACATCCTGGCCAGGTTTAATCTCGCTAATGCTGCTAGGGAGGTCAATGGTATAACGTTCGTGACCAGTCAATCCTAGCGTGTCTGCATCCTCACCGGCCTTGAAGCAAAGAGGAATGATACCCATTCCCACCAAATTACTGCGATGGATTCTCTCGAAACTTTTGGCAATCACTGCTTTAACGCCCTGTTGCATGGCAAAAGTTAGTCAACCGAAGATAGAGATACCATAACGAAAACTTGCAAACTCATTCAAATGGCTGTGTAAATTAACTCACCAATAGCATTGGGCCCTTGGCGGCCCAATCCCTGGAGCTTCCACTTCCATACTCCGCTCCAGCTATCACAATAGTGTCATGCCCATCGGCCTTGTATCTCTGAAATAGAAACAGAACATTGATTGCAAAGATTTAGTGAATGGTTTTCTGTAGTTAACAAAAGATATAAATTCGTGAAAATATTCGGTGGTAACTCACAGTTGCTGCATCAAAGACAAAGAGCTTCTCCCCGGAAGGAATGTGAACTGTTTTTGGACCTACTTCCCCATTCAAAAGCTTGTTAACAAGGCGGATATTGGCAAAAGTTCCCCTTGCCATTACTTCATCATTGCCACGACGACTTCCATAAGAATTGAAGTCTTTGCGATCCACCCCACGCTCAAGAAGGTACTTGGCTGCAGGACTATCCTTGTTGATGCTTCCCGCTGGAGAGATGTGATCTGTTGTAATGCTGTCACCAAAATTCAACAAGCAGTACGCATCCTTAACTCCATGAGCACCGGGAGGATCCATTGTCATGCCCTTGAAGTATGGGGGCTCATGAATGTAGGTTGAATTAGGGTCCCAAGAGTACAGTTTGGATTCGGGAACTGATAGCTGATTCCACATGGGGTTGCCCTTAGTAATTGACTCGTAAGTGCTCTTGAACATATCTGGCAACACACTGGATTGCACTACCTACAAACCATACATACAGTCATGAATTGATTTTGTATACTGCTAGAGTTTTGCAAGAAATCCAAAATTCTAATTTACCTCAGCAATCTCCTCTGTGGACGGCCAAATGTCCCTGAAATAGACGCTCTTACCATCCTTCCCTGTTCCAATTGGCTCCTTATCAAAGTCAATGTCAACCTGGAAAATGAAATTTAAGGTTAACTCGTGTAGATGATCAGTTCATACGATGGATGACTGCTGGCAGAATAACTAAATACATAATTAAAATTCACGCGGCATAAAAGGCATTATAATAGTAGTAAATGAAAGTGGGATAAAGAGAACATGCAGTAAATACTATTTAATAATGCTTCAACATCCAACAATGTCTTATTAATCAATTTTCTTGTTAAGAAATCCGTAAACATGCCAGCAAGCAAGTGATTCAAGGATTAGGGAACGAGGGATATCCCAAGTAATCTAATAATATATTTTTATTTTTAGAGACTATAAATCTGATAAGAGTTCCGAATGACAGGGTTTCAGAGACTATTTTCCTCAAGACCAGAATACACTATGTTCGCATATGACTAGAAATGTAAATAAAATCACTCTTCCCTATTCTTCAGAATAAAAAAAATGTATTATTTCTTGTGAGGCAAAATCCTATAATCATTAGAGTGCACACACACACATAACAGGAACACGAAAGGCCCTGCCATCAAATAACAATCCATCTCTATAACAAAGTAAATACAAGGAATAAACAAATAAAGGAGATGAAGCAAGGAAAACAAATTTAGGTGGTTAACTATTGTACATAGATGAAGTTGAATCACATAACCAAAAACATAAAGCCACGAACATGAAAAAACAAATACATTGCACCCTAAGCAAGCATGACATACCGTTCCAGCAAGGGCATAGGCAACCACCAAAGGAGGAGAGGCAAGGTAATTAGCTCTTGTTAATGGATGAACACGGCCCTCAAAATTCCTGTTTCCAGAGAGCACAGCAGCTGCTACAATGTCTGCAGCAGAAGGATAGGATTTCAGATCCACATGCTAGAGCTAGAGTAGAAACTCATTAAATGGGACTTGAGTTCTTGTGAAGAAAATAATTCATGTAACATGTAAATATGATTGAGTTTTTCAAATTATATAACCTTTAGGAAAAAATAAACACTAATACTTCAACATTACCATTTTCTGATATAGCAGAAGCAACACTTTCATGCAAATCCCCTGAATTCCCAATGCATGTTGTGCACCCATATCCAACAATATGGAAACCTTGTTGATCAAAATACTTTTGCAATCCACTGCATCAAACATATTAACGTTCAATAAACAGTTTGTATCTAGTTTTAATAACTTTAATTATCTAAAAACAGA